AAGAAAAGTTTGAAATTGTTACAATTTTAGTATAAATAGTAAAAATAAAAAAAATTAAATTAAATCTTGAAAATCTAGTATAGATTGCTATTTTTGTATATATTTACAACTTCGTTGTAAGGTTTTTGAATATGCGGGTATGTTACATATAAAAACATTCACAAAAATTGAAAGTATTCATACTGAATAAACTATGAAAAACATTCCTTGCTTGTAGCAAAATTTTTATATATAGAAGTGTTTGTTCGTTATGTCTAGTAAAATTGTTCGTGAATTCGATGAATTCCATTCATATATTGCAGTATTTTTCTGAATGTTTTTCTGAAATCCAATTTAATTATCTACTTCTTCGTGGATCATCGCTTATACAAATTGAATAAAGAAGCATAACAATGAAACAAATATGCATAATACGTAGAGCGTAAAATTGGCATGTTTCAAGAATTAAAACCGTAAGGTAAAAATTATGTTATTAATATTACTAACAATAAATAGTTTTTGTTATATGAATGTATTTAATTGTATGTATTTACTGTTGTTCGGAATTCAAGCAATTTCGAATAATTTAGAAATGGGAAAAGTACAAGCTCTCGGACGCTTATGTTTGTAAACATTGATTCTGCGAATTCTTGTATAGTCTACGCCTTATTTTCTAGTGTCCTACAATATTTCCGCATAACAACGTCGATTGGACTCCTCGAATATTCTGGAGCTTAGTTTCTGACGTCATCAAGAGTTTCGGTCTAGCAACAAGCGCAAGCACTGTTGCCAGCGTTGTAAGCTGCCTCCACATATTCAATTAAAATTCAATTTCAATTTCAATTTCAATTTCAAATTTCAATTAAAAGAGCAGCTCTCCACACACCGGCGCTCACTGTATCTATCAGTCATTCAATCATCAGTTATTGCTCACTGTATCTTTATCAATCATTCAATTATCAGTTATTATTCACATGAAACTCCGCTGTATATCAGTCAATCAGTTATACTAATATACAAACATACTTCAGTCAGATTCAGCAATAATACAATCATAAGCCAACGGTGAAGCCAAATAATTTATAACTAATGTAAGTGAGCCACGGCTAAGCAGTCAAGAGTGGAGATTGAATTTCAAGAGTAATTATTAAATACGAAGCGCACCACCTACGCACTCACCACACACGTGGGTAAGACATTGAATCCTCTGTATTTAACGTCACTGTATTCGTGTCTGTTCTCTGAATTGAAAGCACTAAAATATCACTGCGATCGGAACTATAACTCAAAAATTAAAAGTAAAAATTGAATCTTGACACTTGGAGTGGGTGCTATAGGCACGCAAGACAAGAGTGAAAATTGAAACTTTTGTATTAGACGTCGCTGTATTTAGGTCTGTTCCCTGGATTCAAGCACTAAGGCGGTACTGACCGCTATACGCCGGAATAAGGGTCATACGTGGCACTATTCAAGGAGTGTCAAGAATTTACGCCCTTGCATTTCACAGTGTAGTAATTTTCACTAAGTGCACTTCAACAAGAGGACCCGGAGCTTCATAACCTTCAACCTCGACTGTAGTGAACGCTGTCTCCACGTGAAACTACTAAGGAACAAAGCCCCACAGATTCTCATTACCATCTTAGAATCATATTTATTGTGTAGTATGTAAATAAATAAAGAGAAAAAATACCAAGATACACTATGTGTCAAATATTTAATAAATGCGCCGTCCCCTTCCACTTGCCAGCAATCCTCCCACCGAACACCACTGGAAGTTTTAGTCTAATCTTAGCCAACTATAATTTTTAACAAATACTATTATAATATAAATTTATTGAATAAAATATTTAAAATATTGTTTTCTCCATATTAATATCGTTTTTTATTATGTAATAAATTGTGTCCATTTTAAATAATATTTTGTATAAGAAATTTTTCAAATATTTTTATTATTTATTTAGTTCAATTACTCATTTGTTTAACTTAATCATTTATCACCATAAATTCATTAATAATTATTACCTTATATTTTTAACATTTATACTATGCTAATGAAATAAGATTTAAGTAATTCTGTTAATTTTATTAAATATTATAGTAATCATGGAAATATAATATTATAATAAAATAAGATAAAAAAATAAATTATAAGTAATAGTATTAATAAAAATATTAAAATGTCAAAGTTTGCGATTTTTTATCTGGTACGGTATTAAGGACCGAAGAAATTGATTTTTTACATATATATATAACATTTGTATATAATTAGTATTTGTATTAAATTAAAATTTACATTATTTACGATTAAATTATAGTTTATGTATCGGAACAAACTTACATCTAATTCATACTGTACAAAATGTATTCGCCGTTCCTGCTTGTTTTACCAAGACCGGTTCGAAGGATAAAAATTGATGCCGTTGACAACTCGGAGAGCACGGGTGTAGTATGATAGCGATGAAAGGTCATAAGTGGAAGGGATATTATAATAATACAATATAAATATGGCTGATGTATGCTGCTTATTCTGTTATTTATTTGATGACAAGGCTTGTATAGTATTACTATTATTAATTATTGAAATAACTCTTGGGGTGGATTAATGTGTTTGCGATGGTAAACGTATACTCATCTACGCAGCGTGATGGTTTGAATATGAGCACAGAATAGCGCGAAGTTTGATTCGTCGACACTCGCGCTATTTGGATGAGCATGTGCGTAATTGAGGTTATAGTTGTTATGTAGCGCGACACATGTAACTGTTGTTACTTCATAGATATGCTCGTATCGTAGCAAGCGTACCTTGTCCTGATATTGGCGTACTGCAATAAATTAAGATGGAAGTAAGAGTTTGAAGGGCTTTTACCTCATGAAGGATACTGCTACTTGTTGTGTCTTCTGCGAGAGTTGAAGGGCACGCTGTGGATTCATAAGCGTCAGACTTTGAACTAAGGTGAGGGTAAGGCCGGCAAGTCTCGCATCAGTTGATTGGAATTATTCCGCACTGTCTCTCTGGTGAGAGCCTTTTCTTCTTTGGTTCTGCTTGTCGATGACGTATTCTGAATCTTAAGTTTTAGTTGATTATTCAAGCGGTGATACTACTTACGAAGACTAATTGTCGACTTGTCTTCGGACTCCAATAGGTGGATATGTCTTCGATCCTTTTGAACTTGTAACGACTGTTTCTTGAATTGCGTTAATGGACTTACGGGCATATGTCGTCGTTCTTCTAGAACGTGTAACGACTGTTGCCTTGAACTGCGTTAATGGACTTCCACTTGACACTTATTTGAATAAGGACTTTATCGAGAGTGTTTGAATATTGAAAAATGCGCCCCTTAAATACATTTGCTGACCATGAACTTCACTTGAACCCCTTCCCTTATTTTTCGTCCAATCAGAGACTCCTCCCTTACAGTTGAGAGCAGCGCCTCTTGTGGCTTCTTAGTTAATTAAGGGCGTAGTCGTCTCTTCGTCTGCATGACAAGAAGAGCTCTCGTTTCCGCTAACGCATCTGGCGACAGCATGACAACTTGTTGACAGCGGGAAGGTGGTGGGGCCCGCTAGTACATATTGCTTGAAGTAGTTACCGAGCGGAGCGAATTTGTACAGATGCCTAAAGAGTAGGTTTTTCCCGTGTTTATTGTATTGTTTTTCCAGATGTTATATTGTATTGAAAAAATGTCTCGCGATCTCCAACACATACCATATAATGCATGTTTGTATTTAGATTATATTTAAAATATAAAGGTATGTTAAAAATAATTGGGCGATTAGTTTATTTATTAATAATATGCAGCTTATCAATTAGAGAAACAGAGAATAAATCAGGTTGAATAATTAGCACTGATTGATTCTAAATACTCGTATGCGCGGTTCTTTTCCAGTATCCGTAAAACTCTTTTACATTTTTATTTTAAATTTCTGCATTATAAATAGCAAGTATGAGTATCAAATTTATTTAGTGAGTAAGTAGAAACTTGTATAATTTTCAATTATCATAATTTAATAATTCTGTAAATGTAAATATTAATCTAAAAGCGTAAGTAAGGAAGTCGTTTACTTTATTAATTTAGGTTTCCAATAATTTCGAAATTTAATATTGAAATTTCGAATGATCCGTTTTCTTTTTTAATGATAATAATTTAAAATAAAAATTTTGTTTTTAAATGTTCAATTTGATGTTTAGAGAACCATAAACACAACAAAGTCAATCCACATTATTTTTATTTAACTTGTTATTTAAGATAAGCAATAGTATTTGTAAAAAGTGAACAATTGACAATGATAATGTGATATAACATGTTATTCAAGATAGTATTGTAGTCGCGTTAATTATATAAAAAATACAATGCTAGTCAACAAATGCATTGACTGTATAATTAAATGAGAATAATTTAAATTATACAGTGCAGATATTAGTAATACGAAAAAAAGGTAATATATTAGTATATTTTACCGAGAGTCAATATAGTGTAATAATAAGGACACAGTTGAGAAGCTGTATTTTTATAATATTTCATTCTTTTCACAATGAAAAGAGTTTATTTAAATTCATACATAGCAGTAACAATGGACGTAATTGAGATAGAAACTATAAATTTAAGTATATTTAAAATATCCGAGTTCAATTTATGTAATATTATGGATTAACATAATTATATTTTTATAATAAACTATAAATTTAAGAACAATTTCAAAATTGATTGATTTAAAATCGAATTGGTTCAAATTAAACAATTACTTCTCTCAGTTTTAGTAGGTATTCATGTTTAATTCTTTTTCTATTTCATTCTGTGGAATATGAGTACCAATCAGACTGAAAAATTACAAAAAAAGTGATATAATTTTTATTATATAATTGCAATCAAATTAAAAATTTGGTAAATAAAAATTTTTATAATAATAATATTATAATAATAATATAATAAAAATAAAACGATATACTTTTACATATTTTTATATTTTATTGAATTAAATTTAATAAATTATTAAAAATGTTCTAATTTACAGATAAAAATGAAGAATAAAAACAGAAATTTAATAATTATATTAATTTGCATTATTGTACGTCCAATTTTTATCGTAGGACGTTTATCACAGACCGTCAATAATCCTGGATATTTTAATATTGGCGGTATGCTTTCCAATTCAGAATATGAAGCTTTCTTTAATGAAACAATAGATGTAAGTTTAAATTCTTTTAGAATTAATTACTAAATAAATGAAAACATAAATATAAATAATGTACGTAATATTAAATATGTATATATATATATATTCCATGCATCCTTGTCTAAAATTGATCAAGAATAAACGTTATTAAAAGAGCAAATATTAAAATAATATTAATTAATAAAATAATAATTTTTTATAATTTTTAATGCATTTATTTAGTTATAATATTTAAAAAGTGTATGTTTTGAAAATAAGAAAAAAGTGAATCAAATTTTCTTACTTTTTGTTCACTGATTTTATTAACAAAATATGAAAGAAAACGGAGAGTATTATTGTATAGTTTTTAATTATTTTTTAATGTACTAATGTAAAGATTCAGTGTAGCTGTAAATTATTCTTTATAATTTACATTAAAATACCAATTTGAATTATATTTTTTTAATAAAATGTAAAATATTTTTAGAAATTGTTAGCACATAAATTTCTTCGAATTAAAATAGAATGAATACTCAGTACATTAAATACAAATTCGTATTTGTATTTGCTATTAATATTAAAAGACGATCAAGGAAGCGAAATCTAATGTTATTTTATTTATCCGTAAAACAGATTATTATTACACAATGCTAGAGATTCTGAGAATCTCTCCAGTGTTTAGGTTTTGCAAATTTCCCAAGGTTAGTATTTCTGGGAAAATCCCTATCTGTCGTTGTACATTTGGAAAAATTCGTTATATCCGAAAAAAAGTGTCGTTGGACATCCTTCTAGCACCACAATCGCATCCATTGTTTCTAGAACCACAATCACATCCATTGCTTTTACACCACAACCGCCTTTATTATTATCAGCACTAACTAGGCTGTCGCGTAGATATTTAAGGCAAGCACGCTTCGAGAAACGCGCTCACTTAGTGTAGTCATTACGGAAGGAACACATTTTATTCTCCAGTGTGCATCAGTTAACAGACAGTTCAGGTTGCTGACTGCATTACAAGAAAATATTCTACTACAAGAAGCATAGTATCAAAGTACTCCTTATCACGAAAGTATACCAGAAGTTTCCCTTGATGGTAACTATTCACTACGTGATCAGGTCTAGGCAACTGTATCGCTGTGAGTAAGAATAGCATAAGCCATACTCTTTCAATTAGAACATTACATAATTCATTGCTAATCCTTACAAGATTAGCAAGAGCTGTTAATAGCACTTCACACTGTTCGAGATTGCGAGACCTTTTTTAATGAATTAAAACATCTGGCAAAACAATATCATTAAATTGTCGTTATTCTTCGGTAAAATTCCTGCTCATTTGTATCAAGCTAGAATGTCATTAAACTTATTGCCTTATTGTCGAAGACACGGAAAGGTCAGTACATCTAGAAAACCCCGAAAATCAGTCATGCTAGTTACTTCGCATTGCCAATGCGTTCATTGTTTCCCGCGTTAATGAGCTAACTGTTTACTGGCACGACCGCGTCGAATCTGCTTGTACTAGAAAAATGGAAGTGCTAGATATACGAAAAACTCTTGACCATAAAAACATTTCTTACCTTCACTGCAACCCAAAACCCAGCACGTGCGACATCGGGCAATGAGCGTACGTGCGCATTCGGCATCTTTAGACAATGCTTGCATTGCCCTCAATTATGCTGAATCTTGCCGATCAGACTAGCCAATCGACAGCGCTTCCAGAGGACCTCCCATAACGATAAGTCTCAGAGAAGGGAGAGACGATCAATAGTAGACGCCCCCGCCCTTTCTGATACCTTCCCTATCTATCAACTTCATGACTAAACCCGGAAGGAAGTGGAAATGAAGGCGTGCATGATCAATCATGCTGCCCAAAGTTGCGCTCTGATTGGACACAAGAAATAAGAAGGGGTCTTTAGTGAACCAAGGCAGTAATTTATTTAACAAGGACAATTGAAATATACCACCACTTATTCTCACGAAAAGTCGATCAGCTGAGTCTTGTAAAATATCTTTCTATTTCTGTGATTCAATATCCAGTTACATTTAGTCTCATCAAGCACATATCGCACAAGGGCTGAGATTCTTGTCATCTCAGTAAAAGGAGACAAAGGAAGTTCAAGTGCAAGCAGTTCGTGCATGGAAGCTTCCCATCAAGTCTTTGAGGAGAAACTGAAAATCTCACACTACAACTTCTAAGTAAGTCCAGACCTCTAGTGTTGATTTTTCACATCACGGCTTACTCAGTTACGGACCGCAAGCTGTCCGAGTTTAGAAGCTTCCCGCGCATGCTCACTTCTCAAGACCAGCCATTCGCGCCATTCAGTGGCGCGCATTCCTCTAACCTCTATCTTAGGCACGTGTTCACTCACACGGCCCACTATTTAGAGGTAACTGCAACACGTACCAAGACCACAACGCAGACAAGAACAGTTGTGTTTGTTCAATAGCACAACAAAAAACCATAACCTCTCAAGTGATAGTATTTTAAAAAGTGACATTAGTTTTCTAGCCTACTTCTTTCCACAGTAATTCATTAGTTATCATGTTTCTCCAGAGAATCAAGAATTTCACAACCTTCTGGTTTTCCAACAGAAGTATACCACATCGCCACATTGTTATTGAGAAATATAAAGGTCATTTATAACCTCATCACGATTAATTAACCCTACATTGGAAATAAAATGAAATTAAATGGAATAAACAGCAATAAGAATTATATGTTTTAAGTATTGAATCAGTGCAATAACTCCTCCACTTGCTCACGCATTCTCCCACACAAAATCTAGTGGTTTTTTTAGTTAATTCTAAGCATACACGCCACACACCCTTCTAAGAAGTGTGCACAATTCTATGTTAATCCTTACAACATTAGCAAAGGCCACCTTTTTATATTCCAAGGGCCATACTCATTACTAAGTATGATGCAAATTCTATTGCTGATCCTTAAACGATCAGCAACAACATCATTGCCATCGACAAGGAACAACTGCATCGTTGTGATTGAACATAGTTCACACTCTCCTTCGAGAAGTGAATGCAGCTCATTAATAATGTAATTGTCAATAAACCATAATAAATCATATTTTTACGAAGTCTGCACACACTGTATATCTCTACAGCCCTTTTTAAGATGAGCAACAAATTAAATTGAATTATCGAACATTGGCCCTTCGAATAACAAAATCGAAACACTGGAAGGCACACTTCGAAGTGCCTTACCAACACAATTATCCACTGAACTTGAATTCAAGACAAAAACTCAATAATGAAATTTTAAAGCCTTTTCATATATGAAGGATATCCACAAGGCCTTCATCAAAGAATATGCATACTTGGAGTCACGAATACTTTGAGAAGAATGCCTATACCTAGAGAATTTACACAATACTCGATAGTGCAACAAACTATCAACAACCTTCGCCAGACCTACAAGATCAGAAAAGAAGACACGCCAACCAAGGCACAATCACAAGGTACGCGACTTCCAAATATAAATCTATCTAAAATTTCCAGAAGGCAAGAAAACAGGTTTGTGTTTGGCCATCTTTTCACGGTATCAATCATGGATTGATGATTGATTGCTGATGAACAATGATATTAGCAAGTTTGAAAAGCTTCATTACCTCCGCGCTGCATTGGAAGGGCCAGTAGTACAGTTAATTTCTGGACTCCCACTGAGTAATCAATCACTTGCTCCAACCTAGGAGCTGCTAACTGATTGTTACAATACTAAGTTCTATTAATTCAATCATGTCTCACTCGAGTCAATCCCCTTCAATCCCAATTAAGGGGGGTACAAGTGCGTTAGGGAAACTCATCAACAGCTCCGATGAATCGACAAAACAGTTACTAGCATTGGAAATCACGGAAGATTTGTGGAGCTATATCATAGTACATAGTACAAGTCGAGCGTACCACCAGGGAAATGTGGGAGATATCAATTGTTACTTCCACCTTGTTGGGAATTGTAAAACTGTGGAAAATCCAAGTCGTGAAGCATCTGACAAAAATAAGTCATAAAAATATAAAGAAAAGTCATGTCGTGTGACAGCTGGAAAAAGGGTATTATGGGAAAATCCTACTGATAATAAGTGCAAAATACACACTCTCAGCAGTGCCAAAAAAAGGAAAAGGAAATAAGGAAATAGTGGTGCACAGAGCACAACACAAGGTAAAACCTATAAGCTACCACACACGGCAAAGCCTGCAGATATCACGAGGTGCCATCGAGAACACAGAATTTGCAGAACTTACAGGTAAAAGTTCTATTCCTTAATAATGATAATTATATACAATAAAACTCACGAAGCAAAGAACTGTACAGCTACTCAGCGCACACAATCTACAGACGTATAAGGGGCAAGTTTATTTCGCACAAGATAGACCTACAACAAGCCGTACGCGACAATATCTGCAGACCCAGATGAAGTGCCACCAAGAGCACACCTGTAGAACCTACAAGGTTATCAATAAGCTAATAACAAGGCAAACTCAAGCTACTACTACGTGCCAGTTCACAAGGAAGCGCGGGGGTACGATCTAGCACTTCTACGTGTACAATTACACCACTACGCGCACCACATAAAGACGACCAGGGGGGTTACAATCTTCTACCTATACATGTCCTGCACGTTACCACCACGTGGCAGCCAGAAAGGAACAGCAAGATAGATAAGATTCCATCATCATTATAGTGTAATTGAACGAAATAACAGCAATAAACACCAATAATAAAGAAAGTATTAATTGTTGAATATATGCACTACCCTACCCAGTCCACTTGCCCGCAATCCTCCAACCGACCATCTGGAAGCTTCCTCTAATTGTAGATATTTCGCCCTCCTAGCCCAATACTCAATTTTTAGACAAACCTCATATCCGCGCCTCGATCAACTAAAGACCTTTCTAACATTTCGGCTGAGGGTGCTAAAACAGCTCGAATCAATGACAGATCACCCTAAATTCGCAATACGCTTCCAACCTTCGGCAAGAAAAACATTAAATACTTAACAGTTATCAGAGAACTATGCTCAGTC